TTGTATTTGATCGCCTACTTGATGCCTGCAGACCCATATGCTGCCTGGTTGTGTATGTGACCACCTACTTGATGCCTGCAGACACATATGCTGCCTGGTTGTGTATTTGATCGCCTACTTGATGCCTTCAGACACATATGCTGTCTGGTTTTGTATTTGATCGCCTACTTGATGCCTGCAGACCCATATGCTGCCTAGTTGTGTATGTGACCACCTACTTGATGCCTGCAGACACATATGCTGCCTGGTTGTGTATTTGATCGCCTACTTGATGCCTTCAGACACATATGCTGCCTGGTTGTGTATTTGATCACCTACTTGATGCAGCATGTCCTGCTTGACTGTATTGATTTTTCCATCACAAGGGATAAATATTTCAGTGTCAAAACAGTTAAGGACCTTTTTAATGATGTTAATTCTCATTTAATATTAATTTTTTTAAAAGAAATAGAACTTGTCCATAAATTTTGATGTGCTTAATGTATTATTTTATAAATTGGTAGTGCTAATAAATAACTTAGATTGTGAGTGGCTGTACCCTCGAGGGGGGTTGAAGTAGAGTAAAATTATTGTCCCCCTAAGAGGGTATGTAAGTCCCAAACCATTCGTAGTAGTTTTTCTGCATACCCGACTTTTAAATCGTAGTATATTTGTTAGTTTTATTCAATGGCTAAACTTGCATATAATCGCCAGCAACTGAAGGGATGGTGTAAATCCTGCCGGGGTCCATGCAGGAAGCAAAGGTACTGTAAGTCCCCATGGTCCCTGGTGTGGTGATCTCCCTTTAGTTACTGACGATCTCTAGCCCATTTTTATATTGTGCTGTTCATTAATACTTAATGCTTTTAAATGTTCCGCAACTAGTTTTAAAATGTTATCTGTGATATTCTAGTTCTCATACTGTCCTTCGATGACAGATTTTTATAAAGTTTAAATATATGTATATTTCATGTCTAACTTCTCGTCACGATATGGCTGAAATATTGCCGATGTGACGTAAAGCATTACCTCACACTCACACACCTACTTGATGCCTGCAGACACATATGCTGCCTGGTTGTGTATTTGATCACCTACTTGATGCCTGCAGACACATATGCTGTCTGGTTGTGTATTTGATCACCTACTTGATGCCTGCAGACACATATACTGCCTGGTTGTGTATTTGATCACCTACTTGATGCCTGCAAACACATATGCTGCCTGGTTGTGTATTTGATCACCTACTTGATGCCTGCAGACACATATGCTGTCTGGTTGTGTATTTGATCACCTAGCTACTTGATGCCTGCAGACACATATGCTGTCTGGTTGTGTATTTGATCACCTACTTGATACCTGCAGACACATATGCTGCCTGGTTGTTTATGTGACCACCTACGTGATGCCTGCAGACACATATGCTGCCTGGTTGTTTATGTGATCGCCTACTTGATGCCTGCAGACACATATGCTGCCTGGTTGTGTATGTGATCACCTACGTGATGCCTGCAGACCCATATACTGCCTAGTTGTGTATGTGATCACCTACTTGATGCCTGCAGACCCATATACTGCCTGGTTGTGTATTTGATCACCTACTTGATGCCTTCAGACACATATGCTGCCTGGTTGTGTATCTGGGTCACAAGCAGCCTGTAATCATGGACATATTATACTTAATAAATGCAAACTACTTCAAACAGTTCTTAAGCGTTTCTGAGGCAGCTAAAATATATGATAATCAAGGGTGTACTTTCAGATGAAACAGTAAATCTGTATCGCCTGGACATCTGTACATTGATAACATAAATTTGTCTGTGAAAAGTTCTACTGTTTATGTTGGAGTAGATTTGTATTACTAATTCTTCTGAAGAAAGAACGAAGTTGGCAAGTGAAAAAATTAGAAAAGTGATAACGGTAAATCCTGAAACTGTTTTTTCACTTGGGGATTGAACACCGAAGCTACTATGCGTATCTGTCAAATTGTCGTCGTACCCCGTGTCGTACGTAGGTGTATAGTACGTGGAAACCACGTCCTAAAGGAAACATCATATGCTAGAAACGGTTTTTAGTTAAAAAATGAATGGTTATAATGAAATAGTAATATATAAAATTGGTGTAATATATATCTATGGGTACATTGATCAATAATCTCTTATATAAATCCCTTTCCATAACCGTAAATTTCTTCAACACTAATGATAATTCCTTTCAACTTTCAAGCACGTATTGCACGACCTGGACAGGATGGACAAGAAATACCAAGTGATTCACCAACACTACAAGGACATTAACATACAGAACAAAGAGTTGTGTTGATATTCTGTTACTGTTTGATTGAGAGCTCTAGAGAACTGGGTCAATACGCGATGGACAGCTCAGCATTTGTCATCAATCAGTTCATCAAGGAAGATATCGATAGCAGAGAACCTACTTTTTATATATGGTCAGGTCTGCTTTCAGCAAAATTGAAGGTTGATGGTTATGAAATATATTTTGTAAGATTGTGTTAATATGTAATGCTGACCAGAAGGCTCAATATAGGTAATGAACAAATGTTGAATTTGAATTTTGCTGCACAACCTTGGCCCAAAATGACCCAACCTGAAATGTCCTGGTATTTCAATGGCGGATAACCCACTCGCACAGTCTTCGATGCATTTGCCACTCTAGAGTGAGTGCGTGAGTAGGGTTTTACGCCGTTTTAAGCACTATTCCTGCAACATCACGGCGGGGGACATAAGAAATTGTACCCAGGTCTGAAGAAATGACGACATATCATAGACACGGATCAATGTAAACGCACATCAAACTTACACAGTGTCTCGGCTGCTGTGTTGAGTAACGTCCCGCAGCCCCAGCATGCCATGTTCCGGATATTACCTCAGGTCCATCTGGCTTGTGTTACTTTTGTTGTTACTCTTTTACCAAGCTAACACTCAGTGATATACTTTTATTTGACCCCATATAGCATAAAAAACAGACCTTGCTGACTTGACTCCCTTCATGAGACAGAAGATGAGGATCCAAGCAAAACAAGACTATGCTTCCCATGTCTTCAAAACCTTCAGCTTCGTGAAGTAGAAGGACGCATTGAAACAAAGGCGCAGTGAGAGTGACTACAGTCAAGCCGAAGTTGCTTGTAACAATTTTACGGCAAAATACAAGAAAAAAGCAAGCATATTTTCTGTACGGAGTTACTGGTGACCCCATTCGTCTATGGCGCCGCAATTCGCTGTGCAGAGTTTCGGCCCTGTGTTGGGTCAGGAAGCTATGATCATGGGCTCGAATCACAGATTCGCCCTCGCTCATGATCCTTAGTTTGCCAAGTCCTACCCATGGCCTTGGTTTCACTAAATAGTATGCGCCTTAGATTCAGTAACTCTGTAACGTCTGAATGACGTTGTACCCCTCCCAAAATAAGCTGAGACGAATACTCTCTCCTCCGCACCTACCAGGTGACAGTTTCCACAGTGTTAAAATAACGAGACCCATCCAATAGCGATGTCTGTAAAGGTTTTTTTTGTTCTTTATTCAAACACTATAAATGACGCTAGCCAATGCTGAGCTTCAAATTGAATTTGTTTGACAAACATGCAAATAGTCTACAACTGGGTTTGTAATTGACAAGCTTGACTAAGAACAAAAGTGTTCTGGGGAGATACATGTATATCGCCTTCATAATCACAATGATCAGAATATATAAACATAAAAGTATATTGAGCCTTCTGGTCAGCATTACATATTAACACAATCTTACAAAATATATTTAATAACCATCAACCTTCAATTTTGCTAAAAGCAGACCTGACCATACAAAAAGTAGGTTGCGATTTCTGTTTTTGAGTTACAGATATTAACTTGTTATTCTGTTCTGTATTAACAATACCCTGAACTAGAGTTTGATTTATCTTCCTCTGTATATTTTACAGTGGGAAGGAGTGTGGTGTGCCTTAAACTGACTGTCGTCTCTGTCAAACATATAGAAAGCGTCAATGCCAGAGAACACCCAGTCTTGATTACCACCGACATAGATTCCATTGGACTTAAAAAACAAAATAGCAGTGACAATTATATAAATGATCCCTGACAATCAGTAAAGACACCAGGTGTCTCGAAAATAGTATTCGCTCGTCACGCCGAAGACCCGGGTTCGATTCCCGACATGGGTACAATGTGTGAAGCCCATTTCTGGTGTCCCCCGTCGTGATATTGCTGGAATATTGCTGAAAGCGGCGTAAAATCAAACTCACTCACTCACTCACTCGAAAATAGTAAGCATTTCCAGACATACCTGTAGCCCCCGCCACTCAGACATATTGCGTTTGTTGCCTGATACCACACAGCAGTACTCCTGCCACGCGACGGCGACGTGCAATAAAAAAACAAACAACCAACTGCTGTATCAGAAACTATTTCCACCATAACCTATTAACTGCATAGAATATGAACAAAACGCTCGAGAGAACTCAATCTGTATGATTCGCTGCGTCACCCTGGCCCTCGACAATGTCTAGTCACCACGCACTGTCGAACTCTGCCAGGGGCTGGTACGGCCTGTTCCTACAAATCCATCCATTCTAGATGCATCCACCCTTTAATTAATGTCGCTTTTTATGATTGAAAAATATATTCAGAATAGTCTATTTGTAGACACTTGATTCAACTGAAAATCGCGTACACGTGTACTTGTTCTACTGGAGGTTATGAGAAGGGTTAATGTCTCAGTAACCGTTTTGTCGAGTCTCCTGAGCGGTATGTGTATTTACTTATCCCTTCATTGACTCCTCCGTGCCCTTATGCGTCTCTCGTTATAGGGCACGATGACTGGAATCCAATACCTACGTTTGAAACATGATCCATACCTTTCTGACATCGTGTTTTTAATCAAAGAAATATAATGTTTATATAAGAAATGACAAAAAAGGGTATCGTGTCAACGATTCTGTAATGTGACGTTGATGACTAAGCAGGGTGAGCGGATTGGGACCGGGCCTGTGTGGTATCAACCGTGACAGATCTCTCCCATAGCCTGGGCTGGGGGTTTAGTTCGCGATAAATTTCACCAAGTGATGATGGGTGGTGAATGGTTGAAATGATATCCTGTATAGGTGATCTTTCAATACAGACGGCTGGGTATTCTATCTCGAGTTAGGGTGATAAGTTTGATAAGACCATAATGATTGTTGTTGGCGACATTCACAGCACCCCTCAGCATCGTTGGGCCACAAGTAAATTGAACCGAGGCAGACAATGGCAGACAAGGTAAACTGTTTGGTTTTCAGATGTCTATTAACAATGTTGAACTTATTGATAATATATAAAGATTTTAATTCAGAAGGCTGATTATCGAGTGAATATTTGATGTGTATGTTGTTAGGAAGTATTATGCATCAAGAAAAGTATCCTCTGTAATCTTTGTATCTCATGGTTTCCTTTAAAAAACGGGTGGTCAGGCTCGCTGACGTGGTTGATGCATGTCATCGTATGCTCATGACATCAATCACCGGATTGTCTGGTCCAGACTCAATTATTTACAGGCAGCCGTCATACAGCTGGAATATAGCTGAGTGCGGTGATAAACAACAAACAAACAAACAAACAACTAAACTGTCCAAAATGAGTGAGTAAGTGAGTTTGGTTTAAAGCCCCTTTTAACAGTATTCCTGTTATATCACGGCATGTAAGCTTAATGTGGGAGGAAAGCCCGAAGTGATGCAGGTCTCAGACGTTTACCACTTCGATGAAACACACGAGGACGGGTATGGTGCCGATAAACCTAGAAACATAGTCGGGGCGAGCCGGATTCGAACCCACAATCATAGGTTTCTAGCGTGCCCAACTCTGCACAGCAAATCGCGTGCCCCCGATTAAGATATTGACGCTACTTGGCAACACCCACGGTTTCGAGGAAATGTCAGGGTTACTCTTCGTGGTCTTGTGCTCACAAATGTATATGAATGTATCTGCTGGCTCATCTTCATGCACTTTAATAATGCGATTCGACAAAAAAGATGTACAGATGTCTAGACTACATAATTTCACACATGGATGAGTTCAACATTAGCTTACATCTAGTTCAGGTAAATATGGCTTTCAATGCTCATGTGTGTCAAGTTTCCCTAACCTCTGCGTCACAACTGTAAACAAAACAAGTGTATTATCTGCACTGAGCTGAACATGCATTCCATCAACTGTTTCAATAAAGGGCATGCCGTGTAGGGCTGCACACTGTATTTAAGTTATAAATAGGGATACCCTTCATCAATCATACTTTTGCCATTCATTTCACATACGCCTCAGTAGAAGATGGGCAGGGGAGGGAATTCTGGTCAGTTAACAAGGGATTCAGATATCCGGAAACTCGTTTATCCGGATCATATAAACGCAATTGTCCGGATAAGCGAGGTTCGACTGTACAACACGTAATACATGACAGAACCCTTATCACACTTGCTGATGGGATACAATGAATCCTGATCATAATCCATTTGTTGCTTCTGTATATGTATCCGCATCACACACACAAAGAACAATTACCCTTATTTGCATATCAATGGTATTACAAGAAAGTCACTGAGCAGTTAGTGAGAGTCTAATCTTTACGCTCAATCAGCAATATTGAAGCTATTCACGTATATAACAACTTTGTAAGTTAACTTTCCTTTCCAGAATATCATAGAGTGGTGATATAGATGAACTTCCACCCCGTGTGTGTGAATTTGACTAACATCGGCTTTGTTTTTTATATTTCAAATGATCGTTTTCACCTGGTAGGAGTTTTTATCATATACTGGGTAGGGTTCTCGGCAGGAAACAGCCAACGGCTTAAAAATGAAATCCGTTCGGGTCATATGCGGATGGAGATGCAAATATCAAAGGTCAAGTAGGGACTACTTTCAGTGTTCATAAACAAAGATGGCGTCATCTTTGTCAATCTGCGATCGAGTCAGAATAAGTCGGGAATCTGGAGAAACTACAGGGATAATTGCTATCATTATCAAAAGAATAGTCTAATATATTGAAAATCAGTGTCTACCTGTGATCTGTACAAGATGTTACTGTATTCATTTGTCTCCAGTGTTCCAGATAAGCTGTGTATTTGCGTAAAAAACGCAAACTCCATTTGTAAATCACCATAACCCACTTGAGTTAACGTTGCTTGAGTACAGATGTGCGTGGAAAAATTAGGTTCTCCAATATCATAACCCAATTACCCAATATATATTCTCAGCTTTCACTGCAAACACGAAAACGTCGTTTTTTCCGTATATGGTCATTGGACGGAAAAACGACTAAAAATTCATTAAAATTTATTAATTGGTGAGCGTCTAGAAAGTGTCCAGAAAAGGGTCGAGTTTTTCAAGCGTAAAATGGACGGAAAAACGATGCTTTTTGCTCCGCCTTGTACAACTTTTAACGGCCAATCAGATGGCGCTGGTCCCCCGACGCACGTGATTCCTAAGACTTCTTTTCGAAAGCTTTAGGTTTCGTATTTCTGGCATGCCTTGCTCTAGTATCTGTCGCGCGCAGTGCAGCGAGATTTGCTGATAAGCCAGTTTTAGGATATGTAACATGTTAATGGAATTCAAGAAGTCAAACCAAATAATGTTACCAAGTTTATTGTGGTAACATATTCCTCCGCTATGCACAGTTACCCCTATCGGATAATGGGTTGTGTTTCATTTGGTTATAATAATAACTAATTTTTTAATGTGAAGTTTACAAGATATACGGCTAGGACGAGAGGTCGGTCACATGACGTTCTTCACGTGACTGTATTCTTGAAATGGCGTAAACACTGACTACTTCCACATTCCTGGGGAAAACCCTTGGAATTCCTGGTACGTAACTATTTTATTCCAGGATGGCCTATTAGACTAGCAGTAAGTCAAGGCACCATGCGTGTATATGATCTGTTATTATATGTGTTTAAATTACGGTTTGGGGCGTTAATAAAATACACTGACGCAAGTATATTCTATTCAAATCACTTAGATAATTGAATATGCTTTCTTTTCCATATTCTATAACAGCACTGCAGAACATTTGAATAGTTGCAGTAACACACTACGGTAATCGCATTAGACACCATTTTCAACTGTACAGTATTTCAGTATTTCAGTTATATCACGGTGTATCAGACTGATGTGGGATTAAAATCCGAATTGGTTCAAGCCATCCAACGGGTGAAAAGGTGAGCGTATCCTGCCACACAAGTGGCACCCGTCACAAACACATGCAAGGACAAGTCAATTGTTCACCTGAACAAAGCACGGAAACACACAATGATGCCCGTCCTCACTTTTACCGAGCATGCAAATTATATTGTCCGTCAAAAACATGGACGAGTATAAACAATATGTTCATTCACGTAATACATGTCATACATTTTGACAAAATGTATTCACTCGGAGCATTATTGTTAATCACAACGTATAGACTCGGCATGCAGTTGAACTCATCACCCATCCCATTGGTGATAAATTAATCCTTCTTGAAGATCTATGAAATCAGAAGCTGCAACACTTTACCATTTAATTGGCATGTCAGACTTCTATTTCATAACTCAGTCTTATATGCACGGATCACTATGGAAGGGACATTGTCGCGTTGTCGCATTGACGCCCTTACAAAAACAAGCAAAACGTGTCAAAATTAACAAAGCGCTACAATTGGCCATTTGTCGCATTGTCGCGTGTTTGCATTGTCGCTCTTTGAATAATCCTTTTCTTTCTTTTACAAAAGGGCGACGATGCCGTAACGCGACATTTTCAAGGTCAAAATATGTCTCGTTGTCGCATTGACGCCCCATCACAAATGTGTATAAAAGGCGTAAAGTTTAGTTAATGCTACAGTTAGGAAGCGGTAACCAAGTTACATCTGTCGTAGAAGTTCAACCTGATACATGTAAGTCTTGAAATGAAAACACAAGTCCGTCCGCGAGTCCATGAAGTTTTATTGTGAGCTCTTCTGTAAAAGTGCTTAGTGTTCGACTCCCAGTTCCAAACACGTAGTACCTCATCAACAATCCACATACCTCTAGTGCAGTGGTCTTCCGGAAGATCTTACTCTTGACCGCATTAGACAACTGACGAGTGCACGCCTGACCTGTGACCTCGTTGCAACCCTCATGAGGTGTTTGCCGAAGGGAGAGGGGTAGGAAATGTGTGCTCCAGCCCAGCGCAGAGCTCGCGACACACTGTATACTGAATGTTGTATATTGCAGTATATTGCAGTTGATATACTGTATACTGCATGTGATACTTATTAGCGGAAATGTTACAACTTTCAAGATTCAAGATTCAATTTGCATTTATTTCATATACAACAGACCGCCGTCATATATCACTGGAATACTGCTGAGAGCGGCGTTAATACAATTTGTTTTTCATAATGGAGCGCTGCAGTTATTTAAAATAGAACCGTAAACATATGTAGTACCAACTCACTCACTCTGTTTCGAATATTCAGCAGAAAATATAGTATTAACCAGGTCTTTGGGAAGAGATATCAGATTTTTATAAGCAGCCACATAGGGATGATAAAAAAACCCTCGCTGATTAGGTTCTTGTTTACTTAAGAGCAGAGTTGGCCATGTTAGATGATATAACAAAAATCCAGGAGCTCCGGCGGGGGGCAATCTGGTCTTGTTAGTGTATGGTATGAGCTGTGGCGTTGACCCAAGAGAATAATGTAAAAATGAGACCAACTCAAGTCTATAATGATTGGGAAAGTCTAGATTTCCACAGCCCTAGCCTGAAATTAAGAATTGTTCTAGGCTCCATTTTAATTTGTACTATGTTCATTTTGTAGACATGGATGGACCAACCAGGAGAGAAATTGATGGAATATTAATATCACATGTTACCACTGATCCAGTTAAATTCATCACACAATGATATATTAGTATTTGACATTACGGCATTTGATTATTAGGGCATGATCATGTACATGTTCACTGTAGTAATGTACACAAAATGAACTTGATTATAATTTTTATTATAGTGTAGCGTGGCATCAACGATTACTTTATGATATCCTCACTTGTCATCGATGTATTGACATCGAACAATGGTCGAAAATTCGAAATTCTTATAAATAGCTTCAATAGGGACAGCGCCGGTGTCAGTACAATTTTCCTAGTTTAAAATATGTCTCTACAAAATATAATCTGAAGCAGACAAGAACAATATTAAATTATTAATGCTTACTTTCATGGATAGAATTGAGGAAATCTAGGCTTGCCAAATCGTTCTAGACTT